AATAGGATTTTATAACTATTTCATTATTGATATTTGATATTTGGAGTTAGAAAATAAAAGGATGTTCTCATTATATAAACCAGGGTTGGGCAAACTACGAAATTAAGTACATGTGCGGCCCTTCAAAGGTAAAATAGTTCTCAGTGCGGCCCTCACAGCAAAAAGTTCCTTCCCCTCTTCCCTGATATAACTAATAGTAATAATAATAAAAATGAAGAACCATTTTGAATGTAAACCAAAGCAGTGAGATTTCATAAACATGTAACTGAAGTCACTCGACGAAATGTCAATTTTTGTCTGCCTTGTTAAAGATGTTTATGTATGTATGTCTGTGTGTGTGTGTGTGTGTGTGTGTGTGTGTGTGTGTGTGTGTGTGTGTGTGCGTGCGTTATTTGTGAATGTACTGTTTATGAAAATTGAAGCAAACATTTAACCTAACTCGAGTACTTTAGGTGCACATGCACTCGAACGCATAAACTTAAAAAATATACAAAAGTTCTTCCAGCACACTCATAAACACACATACACCTCTCCACACACATTTCCACACACACTTCCACACACACACAAACACACACACCAAACACACATATACATTCATTCAACCACACATCACATACAAACACAGACATACTTGTGTACACGCGCACAGATAGATAAGCACACAGGCGCACACACACACACACACTTTTTCCACATGCACACTGCAAACTCTTACACATATACTCAAATCACACACACACACAAACACACACACGCTCATCTTTATAAACATGTATAAACAACTGATCAATTGTATTGTTTGTGTATATATATTCATTCATTCGTTAGTTCGTTCGCTCATTCACTCACTCATGCATTCATCTATTCATTCATTCACTTATCTATCCATGCATCCGTTCATCTATACATGAATTCATTCCTTCATTCCTTCATTATAATTTTTCGAATGCGATTAAAAGTGCATTTATGTAAAGATCAACAGAGCCACAGAACAACACAGATCGTCATCATCTTTTACGTCATCATCATCATCGTAATCTCTTACGTCATCATCATCATCATCGTCATCATCTTTAAACATTCAAATGATACTTTATTAACATTGCACTGTTAGAGATGTAACATAATAATTTGTATTGTATTTTATTTCAGAGAAACAAACACACACACACACACACACACACACACACACATACATACACATACATACATACACACACTTGTGTGGAAGAATGTTTCAGTAAACAAATAAGACAAACTTAATAAGATGATACCTTGTGAGTGCGGTTATGGTTTGATGCTACTTGATCCATCTATCATTCATTTATTCATTTGTTCGTTCATTCGATCTTTCATTCATTCGTTCGTTCGTTCATTCATTCATTCATTCTTTCACTCATTCATTTATTCATTCTTTCGTTCGTTCGTTCGTTCATTCATTCATTCATTCATTCTTTCACTCATTCATTTATTCATTCTTTCGTTCGTTCGTTCGTTCGTTCGTTCATTCGTTCGTTCGTCCGTTCATTCATTCATTCATTCTTTCACTCATTCATTTATTCATTCTTTCTTTCGTTCATCAATCAATCCATCCATCTGACAATGTATTATATGACCGAATTATTTGGTTAAGTGTTTCATATCTGCATCAACACCAGATCATTCAACAAGTTATGTTCTCTCCTTCACTCACTCATTCATTCATTCCCACGCTCATTCAATCAATCAATCCGTCAATCACTCACTCTCTCAATCACTCACTCTCTTAATCACTCAGTCTCTCAATCACTCACTCACTCATTCGTTCGTTCATTCAATCAATCATTTGTTCATCTATTCATTCATTGATTTACTCAACGGTTAATCGACAAAAAAATTTCTTTTTCTTTTTATAATTCAGTTATTTATTAACAAAAGCTATTTTGTTATTTACTTGTTGAAAGTTCGTCGTGTTTCATTGTTGCACTTGTGATATGTGTGTGTAAGTGTGTGTGCGTTTGTGTGTGCGTGCGTGTGTGTGTATGTGTGTGTGTGCGTGTGTCCGCTTATTGTATCGTCATCATCATCATCATCGTCGTCGTCATCACCATCATCATCGTCGTCGTCATCACCATCATCATCGTCACCATCATCACCATCATCACCACCACCATCATCATCGTCATCATTCGTGTTTTTCTTAACAGCAATAAGCAAATAATAGCCCCAACTAACCATGCCAGGAAGAAGGCCAGTTATAGACGTCATCAACATCCTCCATCTTGTCCGCCATGACATTTCATGACATCACATTTCCTAAACGGAAGTTCCGAGTGTTAGTGTCGGTTGGTCGGTCGGACGCGGATGATGTTTGATATTTTTTTTGTAGAGCGCATTTTTTAAAAGAGCAATTTAGATCGTGATTATACGATGTTGAACAAGTGGTTCTTTTAAACGGGACATTGACGAATGGCTTATAATAACAAAAGGCTGTATTTCACGCAGATTATGTTGAATTTTTGTCAAACTGCAAATGATTGTCACGGATTAAACTAAACTATTTTTCTCCTTAATTTATTTACCTCAATCTAACCGAGTCACTGAAACTTTGATTATTTAATAATACGAAGAGTACTAAAAAGAGGTAATCTTTTTCAGTAATAACGCTACTGCTACTTATAAATATAATTAATGATAAATTGTAGTTGTAGTAGTAACAGCAATAAAAATAAAATAAAAATAATATTTGGCCAGCCCTAGAGTCCTTAGTAACGGTATCCTAGCGAGTGAGTAAAAGTGAAAAAGTTGTAAAGGTATTCAATCAATAAGAGAGAGCAAATCCGTAGACTAAATTAAGCATTCAAAATCATAAATTTGATGAATTTTCACGTCCATATTTGAAAATTTAAGACACTAATTTATGAAATAATTTCAATTTCCAAATGTCTACTGCAAAGCCAACACTTAATTACATTCTACCGAAAGATGGTGCATTAATTCAGGAAGATGTGCCCACAATGATACTATGCAAGCCAAAAATACTTCCACTAAAGTCCGTAACTCTTGAAAAGTTAGAGAAAATGCAATCAGAGGCGGAAAAGCAGGCAAAGCAATTACAAAAGGATGAAGCAAATATGGCAAATTCGGTTCTTAACGACGGTAAGGATGACGAAAACGCTGGGCCCAAAAGAGTTGATAGATTGATTTTGTGATATTGTTATTCGAAATTACTTTGTATCGCATGCTGTTAACATTGTCAATTAATTATTTTTATTTAAATCTTTTATTCATTAATAAAGATTTTAAAATAAATGTTTTAAATTAAAAAAAAACTACTAAATCAAAAATTAAGATTTTGAACTATCATCAACATTATCATCTCTGTCATTATTCGTTAAACCAAGAACACCATTAACCATGCAACTACTATCACCATCCTTATTATTATTATTATTATTATTATTAACATTAGTATTATTTTTCGCAATTTTATTTTTTATTGGATACTTAAGTCCACTTTTAAGTAAATGTTCTTTGCTGTGGTGTACGACAGCCCCATGCTCCATTTGAAATCTGCACAGTGCTTCCAGCGGCTTCATGAGAACCTGATTAGGAAAATTAGGGAAAGAAATAAAAATGAATAGTACAGTCATTTGTGGCCCTGAAGTTTAACTATGTTTTATTAATTAATTAATTAAAATGAAACAGTAAGTCAAAAATCCAAAATTATTAAATTAAAAAAGACAAAAAAAGTAAGATTACAAGATAATAAATACATGTGTTACATATATACAATAAAAAGAGAAAAAAAAGAAAAATAAAGAAAGAGAGAGAGAAAAATAGAAATAGAGAGACAGAGAGAGAACGCCAAACATCACCAACTTCATATACATCTGGCCGATCTTCTAATATAGAAACAGCCAGCGCAACACTTTCAACTGTTGAAAGACCATCGTCAGTTGGTTGGGTTCTTATTGTGTATTTGCTGACGCCTATGCTATTTAGTTTTACCTAAAATTAGGAATTGGGAAAAAAAATGGCTGACTTTCTTGTAAATGGAAAAAGTTCCATAGATATATCATAAATAGAATGCAGTAAAAATGTTAACACTAAGTGATGCATGTAAAGCTTCGCGGAAAAGTAATAAAATAGACAAGCATTCATTCATTTTCAAATCATTCATTCATTCAATAAATCATCATTCATTCATTCAATAAATCATCATTCATTCATTCAATAAATCATCATTCATTCATTCAATCAATCAATCAAAATTGAAATCAAAACCTGTTTCATGTTATGAAGAAATTCATTACAGAAATAAATTCCCTTAGCATGATGCCAAGTGCCATCAAGTACAAATAAATTATGATAATTAGATAAATTATCATTTCTATTTTTAGCTCTAAGATCGTCATTGTAGTAATCTTCAATGTATTCTTGGATGTTGACTGATTGTGGGGACGGATAGAGTAGAATGCTATTCGATTCTTTGGATATTTCTATTAGATTTTGAAACCTAAATTTTTTGGTAGTAAATTACAATGATTAAATGAATGGATGAATGAAGAACTACGCTGAATGAATGAATGAGTAAATGAATGAATGAACGCATGGATTAATGCATGATTGATTGGATGAACAGTAAATCAAGCAAGATATTAACAAATATTGATTAGAAAATAACAAGATGAAAATTTTAAAAAATAACTTTTAATTTTAACCAAAGAATAAAATAACTACAATGACAAAGAAAAGAAACAAAGGAACAACCACCATTCACCTAGATGGGGGGAACTTTTTCCCTTGAAACAACTGGCAGTAGTCATCGTGAAATGTCCGAAATAGCATTGCAGCCGTCTGGAGACACCTGGACTCCTTTAATAAAATTGAGCAATTGATTGTTTAACTAATAAAGTAATTAATTTAACAAATAATTAATCTCATATTCATTTAATTAATTAATTAATTAATCAATTAATTAATCGTTATTATAACTATAGTAACATTGTTAATCAGTAGAAATGTAAGAGAAAAAGTCAAATTTGAACAGGTACTCAAGTAGTTGTTAGAGAGAGAGAGAGAGGGAGAGAGAGAGAGGGAGAGAGAGAGAGAGAGAGAGAAAGAGCTGAGCTATCCATCTGTATTCTAGCCTATCATATCACGGTATAAATAGATGAGATATGAATGATGAAGTTGCCATAGTGTATGTGTATGTATTGGATGGTATGGTTTTTTTTTTAGTAGTTTTTAAGATAAGTTTAAGATCAAATTTATAAATTTAGGAGTCATTTTACAAAATTTATCAATCCCCTCAAGCTAATTTAGAAGTCATTTAAAATAAGATCTTAAAAAAAGATACTGTTGATATTAATATCAATGGTTAATTTAATAATAGCTAACAAATTAAGTCTCATAGTTTTAATACCTGCTGAGTTGGTACAATGCATACAATTATATACCAAATCAACCTCACACCTCTCTTTATAATATCTATTTGATTTACTATTACTTACTACCATGATAGATTAGAATACAGATAGATAGATACTAGATATCAGATAGTATAGTTATTTATACTTTATATCAGTATTATTAGATATAGATATATATCAAAAAAACTCTCTAGTTCTTGTCTAGTCTAGTACCAGTTTGAGTTTAGTTAGCAATCCTAGAATTCAATCTTCTCATCATTTTATAAAAAATTAAAATAATTACAAATAAATTTATAATTATTATTATAGTTCAATAACAAATTCATCCAGTTTTTTACAAGTTCATAACAAGTTGAAAACATCCAAATTTATTATTTTAAATTAAATAAAAAATGAATTTTATAATTTTTTAAAAATAACTAACTTGCAACCAGCGCAAATCTTACGTTTAGCTTTAGTAGTAGGAACAGCAATCGAGTTAGAATCTCCAACGCAAATCTCATCAGACATTTCATTTTCTTCAGCCATTTTAAATTTAACAATCAAAGTTAACTTTAATTGAAAAAAAACCTGATTATTTTAAATAATTTCGTCTACAAAAGTTCGTGACGGCGATATTTAAGAACAATATTTACCATAGACAAACCAATTAAAGATAAATTAAAAAAGAAACGGAGCAAAGATATTAAACTGCACCAGATAAAATAGATGGAAACCCGGATAAGATAACAAGAAACACACACACACACACGCACATATATATATATATATATACACACACGTACACAGACACATAAACATTGATTGATATATGTACACAGTTGGTGAAACTACTAAAACTTTGATAGACAGAATTTAATTTGTTCATCTTTTTTTCCGCCTATCCTCATGAAACAAAATGGCAAGCCACACATATACAATTATATATATATATATATATATTTATAATATATAGTAAATATAAGTATATGTGTGTAATCATTCCAATCAACGAATAAGTATACAAATAAACAAGTATGACAAATAAATATTTGAAAAAAAGAAAATGATTGAATGAATGAGTGAATCAATGAACAAATGAATAAAACTACGTACATGCATACATACATCCCACAAAGAGATATCAGAACATAGAAAAATGAAAAAATTTTGAAATCATGACCAAAAAACAAAAAAAAGATAACATCTTATGATTTATCTAGATTGAGCGTCGAAATCTTAACAATTAATAAAAATAATCATGAGAATAATTAATTAATAATTAATTAATTAATCCAATTAATGGAAAGCATCATTACAGATCACTGAATCAGGAAATTTGGAAAGAAAAACACACACACACACGCACACACGCGCGCACAAATAAAAATTTCATTACAATTATCTCAAAAATAATAAAAAAGTTAATAAACTAAATCACAAAACATAAAAAAAACAGAAAAAAAAATCATTAAGTACTCCGACGATTGACCTTAAACAATTGGACCATTCAAATTCTTTCATCGAACCTCAACCAATTAACAACGTATAATATATCTATATATTTAAATTTATCAAATTTATCGATTAATCAGATCAAAGTAGGTCATAGAAGTAGTCCAGGCCCTGACCTATTTCCCATATGGATATCCCTACCCCTAATTTTTTGGCCAATCGTATGCGCATGTCGATGGAGAGCAGTGTGGGGTAGTAAAGCAGGTAGTCATTCGATTTCGCCCTGTTCAAAAAAGGTAGGTGGTTTTTTGCATTAATTAACATAAATTAATGAATAATCTTGCATGAGTTTACACCAATTGATGAATAAATTTCCATATATTAACATGAATTTATGAGTAAGAATGCCTAAATTTGTATAAATTAAGGAATAATCTTTGCATAAGTTGATTAATAAGTTACATATTAATATTAATTAATGAATAATCTTGCATGAGTTTACACCAATTGATGAATAAATTTCCATAAATAAACATGAATTTATGAGTAAGAATGCCTAAATTTGTATAAATTAAGGAATAATCTTTGCATAAGTTGATTAATAAGTTATATATTAATTTTTTACCATAAATTTAGCCATCATCATCATCATCATCGACATCATCATCATCATCAACGCCATCATCATCATCATAAATAATAACTGCATCATCATCACCATCCTTATTGTTGACCTGTATTTAATATAATGCTCCGCCGTGGAATTCTCCCAATGTATCTTGGGCTTGTGGGCGGATAGTATCTCTAAGTATCTATTATGGAGAAACGACAGTATCATGCATATGAAATAGATACAATATAACATACATATTATGCATAAACATCATCTGAGAATCTCTTTGACGTGAAACCAAATCTCCAAATGAGAAAGAGGGAGAGAGAGAGAGAGAGAGAGAGAGAAAGAAAGAAAGAGAGAAAAAAAGATATGGAAAGATAGAAAGCGCCTTTGATCATAACACCAATCAATCCATGTATCACACATCTAGTGTGTATGATACCCCATAGTATCAAGATGTGTACGATACACCATAGTATCAAGATGTGTATGATATCCCATAGCATCAAGATGTGTATGATATCCCATAGTATCAAGATAGAGGCGACACTAACTGCTTTCCCATGACGGCGTGAAACGTGGCGTGGTTCGAGAACTGGTAGCCGTAGAAATTCAGACCGATTAGGATCTTCTTCCTAATAGGAGAAGAAATGTTCGGTTCGAGGAAGTCCACACACGCTTCTACCCAGTTTATTGGACTGTTCGGACCTGGTCTTTGTGTGTGTGTGTGTGTGCGTGTGCGTTTTGTATGCTTCTATGTATGCCTGTATGTGTGTAGTGTAAATGAATGTACGTTTACATACATGTTTGTAGCCATGCATGTGTGTGCATATATGTAAATGCACCATTGGCGTGATTTGTTTTTAACCCAAATTTGAAAACATTTTTAAAAAATTCTATCGGAATGCAATTTTATAATAATAGCCAAAACACGCAACTAACACTTTTAATTCAATTAAGCAAAACTGGAAATGTATAGCCACAAAAAATTTTAAAATACATCAACATTTTCATTTTGCCATTACAAAACCCTGGACATATCTCAATATGAACAAGAGTATAAACGTAATAATAATAATAATAATAATATAATAACAATAATTATTATTATCATAATTATAATCAGTATGAAGAAATAATTTAAATAACCTCGACGGCTCAGAATAGTCGTACGTCATAAGGCTTATGGCGTCTACAAATTTTATCAACCTACTGAAATCTAACTGGGTCAGAACGCCACTTTTTATGTTTCTAGGTCAAAATAATAATAATAATAATAATAGGTTAGTATTAACCATAATCATAATAACTCATTACCCCCTGGTTATTGGCGGTGGTAGTACCAGAATTATCTTCTTATTGAGTTCCCTCATAGCCTGGTGCAAGTGGCCCATGAAATGGATGGTCTCACTTTTATTTGTTTAAGGGGTGGTCAAGTTAGAAAAATAACAATCATTAATAATAATAATAATTATTATTACTATTATAATTATTATTGTAATTATAACTGAAATCATGATAATTACAATTCACACTCACTCCTTATATCTTCCCATATTTTGTGACCATAGTTCAATTACTACCCCATCGAAATTCTTCCTCTGAGACAATAACAACAATAATAAAAATAATAATAACAATAGAAATAACAATAACAACAGTAACAATAACGACAGTAACAACAACAACAACAACAACGACGACAACTAACAACAACAACTAACAACGACAACTAACAACAGTAATATCAATGATTGACTCAATGCAGGCGCCCATTTCACTTTCAGTGGAGAAAAACGTCTGCATGTCGGCGCTAGTCCATCCATCAAATATTATCCGGGGTACTGATACGTGATTGGTCGACGTCGACGATGACGTCACGACGATGACGTCACGACGATGACGTCACGACGATGACGTCACGACGATGATTACGAAGATGAAGATGGCAAGGTTAATATAACAAATGTAATTGTAAAGATCATGGCAATAGTGACTGTAACAACGAAAACGATGATGACATGAATATTAAAGAGCAGTGACACATCAGGAAACTAACCAATAGCAACGCTCCCTGATCTTGCAACTTCAGCAGCCCAGACTGTGTGCATAAATTATGTTAATTATTTTCAACAGTAACATAAAAATGACGTATAAATGGATATAATTAGAAAAAAAATGAAAGAATTATTACACAATAACGAAAAATTTACTACAACAAAAAACAATAACGACAACAGTAACCAAAAACCCTAAAAAAATATACCAGAATTAATATCATGTTTGCCCTTAATTTCGTAGTTGTTGGTAGTTTTCCTAACTATCTGCAGCCAAACTGGTGACACATAGGTGAACTTGTGTGAAAATATCTTTGCTATGTCATACCCATGGTTATTCCACTGTGTGTGTATTTATTTAGAGGATTATGACTGGTTGGATTGAGTTGGTTAAGGGAGTGTAACTGGTGGAATATGATTGGTTGAGAAAATATGAAGAAATGTACCCAATGGAATGTGAAAAACCCATGATTGGCTGATAAAATACAACTGAAACAAATATGATTGGTTTGTAGAATATAAAATATTATAACAATATAACGCCATAACTTCAAAACAGATAAAGATGAAGATAAAGCTTCATATAAGTATTATAACACTATAATTTTATAATAAATAGAACACTAAATAAATATTATGACACCATAATTATACCGGAGTTACATAGGCCAATGTGATGCCGTCAAACTTTTTCACTTCCTTCTCGACATCGCAGTATGAACTATGATCTTTCAAAATGTCTGACGCTTTCACATTTTTCGCTACTAAACCCCTTTGGTAAACGTTGTCTATGGATGGCGTTATCTGTTGGAAGGTAAATTTTGATTGGTTTGTACAATGACATGGTGAAATGAGATTGGTTAGTAGTGGAATATGTGTGATATTAATAAAATATGATTGGTTAATGATGAATTATTTATGGTGGTGAAATATGATTAATTAGTTGGTTGGTTGGTGAAAAAATTATGATGTTGAGATAAGCATCTATTAAATTACTTTTGTAATAGCTTGTAGATTTAAAAAAATATATAATTATAATTAATAATTTGTTTTTTGTTTTGTTTGTCAATTAGAATTAATAAAAAAATTGCTAAATAGATAAATTAAAATAAACATACAAGCGATGATGTAATGAGCTAATAAAAAAACAAGCACACCACTAACTTTGACACTGTTTTTGCTTTGCTTTTTCTTGTCAGATTTGCTAAGTGTTGCATCTGTGTCCAGGTGAACCAGTAAGAATGCCACAATCACAAGTGAAAAACTACGTGATTTCATTTTTTTTTCTAAAATAAACCGGAGTGACAGAAAAATAAAAATGTCCAAAAAATGATCTAAATTATAACGAAGAGGAAATGTGTTGGATTAGACGGAGACGATGACTTTTTAAATTGAAAAATTTTAAGTCAACGTCTATTTTTTGAAGATAATTATTTAAAAGTAAATTTAAGTTATTACCGTACCATTGAATTATTTTGTAAATTATTTATCTTCTACGTTTATGTACTTGTTACTTAGAATAGTATTTATTCAGCAGTAGTAAAATTTGTAGCATTAGTAGTGTAGTAGCAGTAGTGGTAGTAGCAGCAACTTCATTCGCTTTCCCTTTATTTTTCGTTCTTCTCAATTCAACTATGTGATTGACGTTATTTTTGCGTTTATTCATCCATTCGTTAGTCTATTAATTCATTTTCATTCATTCATAATGACACACACACACGCACGCACACACACACACGCACACACACAAAGTACCGTTCAAATAGCATTGCAGAAAAAATCATTCAAGAGCCACCTATAATGATACCACCAACGCCGAAAAAATGAATATTACTAACTATCACATCTAAAATACATTTTTTTTTATTATAAAAATGATAAAAAAGAATTTTAATGCGGTATTAATTTATTGACATTTATTTATTTATTGACTTATTTACATCACATAGTTGGCAGGCAGGGTAAACTAGAAAATCTTATGCCCAGTTAACAAAATGACGTCACCATTGATTAAATCAAAATAATAATAATAAAAATAACAATAACAATAGAAACATCAATAAAACCTTATGAAATATATGAGACAATGATGAATAATAATAAAATAATACAAATGATAATAAATTGGTCAACCAATCCCGATAAAATTCACCCAATCCATCGGACAACTCCAGCCAATCAGGTTTAAGGACGTCATCGTCATTAATTATCACAAAAACAAGATCCAAACAACAACAACAACAACAATGAATTAATAACAATAATTACAACAACTATTATTATTATTGTTGTTGTTGTAGATGCATATAGTGTTTATGCGAAACTGAGTGAGATACGTTATCGAGATACTGACCTAAATAAAATTCAGCGGGGAATACATGCATGCATGCACATCAGACTAATATGAAATAATAATAATAATAATTGTTATTAATGTTATTACATTTGAAAATAAAAATTTTGATTGTTGATTGATTTATTCATAATATAACGACACATGCATGCATGCATGCATGTATGTATTTCTGCTGAATTTTTGTTTCCTCAACTGTATTACCGTATTTACATCCCGCCTTACTACAACTGCACATATGTATGTATGTATGTATGTTTGTTTGTTTGTTTGTTTGTATGTTTGTATGTTTGTATGTATGTATGTATGTATGTATGTAAGTATGTATGTATGTAAGTATGTATGTATGTATGTATGTATGTTTGTATGTATGCAGTTGTAGGATCAGCAGGATGTTTAACCTCAGCAGCCTTCAGCTTCAGCCGAATCGCCCGAATCTTTGGTGACAGCCATCGTAGTAAAGACCTGAAAATAATTATAATAAATATAATTAAAAGTTATAATTATGATAATTATGAATGAGTGGATGGCACAAAAGTGAGGCGAGTGGCTGAATTTTCTGTTGGCATGAAATGGTTATAAGGGGTAAAAATCAAAAAATGTGTCTGATGAGTTTGTTCAGAGATATGCTAATGTAAGTAGTCTGTGTATAAGTGTATCTGACTCATTCACTGACTCACTCATTCACTGACTCACTCACTCGCTCACTCATTCATTCACTCAATCAAGAAAGCAAGCAATCAATCAAGCACCTCAGCACAAGTAGGATGGATGCCAATGGAGCTATCAAAGTCATCTTTCGTTGCAAACATCTTCATAGCAACTGTCCAGCCTAATCAATCAATCAATCAATCAATCAATCAATCAATCAATCAATCAATCAATCAATCAATCAATCAATCAATCAATCAGTCAATCAATCAATCAACCAACCGAGCGATCGAAAAACCGAGCAATCAATAAACCGAGCAATTAAACGATCAATCAATTATCCAATTTTTTTTTCTCCCTCTTTAGTTCAATTTTTATTAAATCATTCGCCATTCAATGATTCTTATCATCCCCTACTTGATGATCATCATCAACATCACATTCATCCTAATCATCATCATCATCATCATCACTCTCGTCATCATCATCAGCAGCAGCAACATCGTCCTCACGACTGACCCTGTGTTATCTCCCCTGCGTTTGGTCCAGCTATGTGAAGTCCAACAACTCTTTTCTAGAAAATAAAAATAGAAAGATGGAGTGAAAAATCAATCAGTCGATCAATCAATCAATCAATCAATCAATCAATCAATCAATCAATCAATCAATCAATCAATCAATCAATCAATCAATCAATCAACCAATCAGTCAATCAATCAACCAGTCGATCAACCAACTTTCAAAGACTTGACACAAACAAGCTTGGCGTAGCACTGAAAATCATGGTGGGGAACTTGCCATTCCAGAGGGACAAAATTTGAATGAAACACCTGCAAAGTGTGCGTGTGTGTGTGTACGCGCGTGTGCGTGTGTACGTGCGTGTACGTGTGTGTGTGTACGCGCGTGTGCGTGCGCGCGTGTGTACGTGCGTGAACAACTCACATAATCTATATCCTTACTTTTAATTAGGCTACACACAAACACAAAGGCACACAAACCAACCTCAACATCATGGCTACCATAGGTCTCAATAGCTGTCTCCTCACTGAGGCCAATGCAACCGTACTCCAGTGGGGTGAAGACAGTGGTCGGTACGTTAATGTAGTCGCACTGATTGGTTGGTTGGTTGATTGGTTGGTTAGTTGATTGGTTGGTTGGTTAGTTGATTGGTTGGTTGGTTGGATGGTTGATTGGTTGATTGGATGGTTGATTGGTTGGTTGGTTGATTGGTTAGTTGGTTGGTTGGTTGGTTGATAGGTTTATTGAATCAATGATTAACTGAATGGTTGATTAATTGGTTGATTAGTTAGTTGGTTGGTTTATTGATTAATGAAATAATTTTTTAACTTCTCATTCAAAACGAAATGAAACAAAGTAAGCAGCAGAAACAAAATTCTTCTCGCCAGCCACCAACCAACTGACCAAAGTCATCTCTCCGGCGAACAACCTCCTGGCCAACAACTTCCCGGCCCTAATCGCTACTGGGGTGAGTTCGGGCCTGCCATCTACGATGTCCCCAACGGCGAAGATGTATGGCGTTGAGGTACACTCACGCTCGTTGCATTTTATATAGCCTGACCTGATTGGGCGGTTGATTGAAGGTACGATTGGCTGATAAACTAGTTAATCGAACAATCAATCAAGTATAAAAAAATTTAATCCTTCAATCAATGAATCAATGAATCAATCAATCAATGAATCAACCAATCAATCAATCATGCAATCAATCAATCAATCAATCAACCAACCAATCAATCAATCATGCAGTCAATCAATCAAACAATCAATCAAACAATCAATCAATCAACCAACCGACCAATCGACCAACTAACTTCTTATCAAAGTTAACACCAACGGCATTCAGATTGAGATCAGCTGTGCATGGAACCCGACCAATAGCCAACAAAATCTGCCATGTTTTTTTGATAAATTTTCCACTATTACTACTACCATTACTACTGCTGCTACGATCGCTACAACAGCTGCTACTACAATCGCTACTACAGCTGCTACTGTTGCCATGACCTTTACTAGTATTAATGATAAAATGCTAACAGTATTATATTCATCGTCAACTTGGATTTCATCTCCATTATCCTTACTGTTGAGACCCGTGACCCTATAGGTCCCTGGCTTACCGGGCTCTGCATCCTTGACCTTTTCGATCTGATTGGTTGGTTGGTAGATTGGTTGGTTGGTTGGTTAATTGGTTGGCTGATTGGTTGGCTGATTGGTTGGCTGATTGGTTTGTCGATTGGTTGGATGGATGTGAGGATTGTTGATCAGTCGGTTGTATGATAAGTTTATTTTTGAAAACCGGCCAATCACAATCAAACCGACTGATCACACACACACACACATACGCACGCACGCACGCACACGACAAGCAGCACCAATAAACAGACCTTAGTAGGTATGAACCCACGGAGGAACTTGATATCGCATACGTCCTCCATGTACTTGCCAATCAGG